TACTGTTCGGCCGAAAAAGGTATAATTAAATAAAACACCAGCAAAATCACTTTGGCAGACGTCAGCTACATTTGATTTAATATTCTTGAAGCTTCAGAAAAGCAATGAATATGATCGTCAAAAACTCCATGTGTATTGTTTTCATTGCAGAACATTATATCGTTTGTATTTCTTTAATTTATTCTTTATTATTTTTAATTATCATCATCATCATCATCATCATCATCATCATCATCATCATCATCATTATTACCATTATTATTATTGTTATTATTATTGTTGTTGTTGTTATTGTTATTAGTATAACGTTAAAGACACAAATACTTCTGTCCCATCTTTCTTTTGGTGTTGTCCATTGGATGAAACACGAAATTCAGGGTATTGACACTGTAACATGAAGAATCATGTCAGACAATAGATCCCACCACCCTCGCTCTTTCTTCAATCGCATAAATTTACCAATCAAAATGGGAGAGCGTGGTTTGATTAATGTCGGGGCTCTTCATGACAGAATCGTTTTGTGCACTTTTTCACACATTTATTTGTCTGATGATCCTCTTGTGAAGCATGTCAAGACCCATGATGAAAACAAGGCATTCCACCGGTTTCGTAAACGAGCCAAGGATGTGGGCCATAATCTCAATGTCAGTGTAGATCATGTTGTTGGTTCTGTTCTGCTGGACGGTACAGAAATGAGTGTCAACCAAGCGAAGTGCCATATCAAATCGGCCCAGACTCGGCCTTAGGAGAGCCTTTCTGAACGACCACTGCATCGAGTTCATGTGCAGTGTGTTGAGAAGTTCAGCAACCTTGCAGAGTCCTTTGCTTGGATGAGGTCGGCTGGCCTGAAAAGTAAAACAGAAGGATATTTTTTGTTTGCTGCTCAGGACCAAACACTTCCCACTCGAAACCGTCAGTGTGTGATTTTGCATCAAAGTGTGAATATGAAATGTAGATTATGTAATGAATTTAATGAGACTGTTCAACACATTGTCAGTGGATGCCCAGCTTTGGCACAAATACAGTATCTTAATCGACATGATGGAGTGGCTCGATCATTTTATTACGGTCTTCGCAATGCTTGTGGTTTTGACACGGAGGTTTATCCATGGTACGACCCAGAATATGTAGAGGGCGTCATGGAAAATGATAAATACAAAATTCTTTGGAATCGGTCCGTATACAGCCTCAGACTTATCCAGGCCAACAAACCCGATCTTATCCTTTTTCATAACTCGAATGAAATCATTTATATTATTGAATTTTCTGTCCCTTTTGACACTAAGGTGATTGACAAGATTCAGGAAAACATGGCAAATATGCAGACCTCGCTTTCGAAATGTCACACTTTCATCCCAAGTACCAAGTTGTCCGAATCACCATTGTTCTCGGTGCCTTAGGTTTGGTACCTCCCAATCTGTTGACTGACATTGGAAGAGTACCCGGGTTCGCAACCAGGAATACAGCCCTTCTGACAATCTGGGTAATGAAGAAGACTGCAGTGTTGGGGAGTCTTCACATTCTCCGTAAAGATCTGGGTGGGTTTGACTAGGCAGCGCTTCCTGGGACAAGTCCCATTCGCTGTCTGAGCTGCGTGTAGAGGGGGCAAGGGCCCTGAGCTGATGATGAGCCTGTGGGTTTATACAGTCCACTACCAAGCAATATGGGCGCACCAGTCGACACGATGAAGAGGTAAAGTTGTCATTAATCACTCCCACATCCAAGCAATAAATAACAGCTTTATCAAACACGACTATCTCTGATCGTGGTCCTCTAAAACACGTGCACATAACGCTAGTGGCTTGATGGCCCCCACCTGGGCACACTCACCTGGGACATCTAGCTGGATATGTCGGCGACAGGCCAGGTAACCTTGCCCACCACCGCCCCGGGCCCGGAGACCTGCCTGACACCTGTGCCGGCGTTATTATTGAGGAACACAGCACACCAGTTGACATGGGCTTACATCGGCGTACACAACGTCACAAACTGCATGGTACCACCGCGTCCACAATACGACTTCGCGTTGGTCTCGGGGAAGTGAATGTAATTACAGATGATTGAACTATCGATGCATTGTAATTGTCCATAGCCTGGTGGCAATAAATCTATGACAAGTTAAAATAGCGGTAATATAGTAATAGCAGCAACAATAGTAGTAATAGTAGCAACAGCAACAGTGGTAGTTATGACAGCAGCAACAACACTAGTAGTGAGTGAGTGAGTGTGGTTTTACCCTGCTTTTAGCAATATTCCAGCAATATCACGGCGGGGAACATCAGAAATGGGCTTCACACATTGTACCCAGGCGGGGAATCGAACCCGGGACTTCGGCGTGACGAGCGAACGCTTTCAGACACCAGGCTACTCTACTGCCCGAGTGAGTGAGTATGGTTCTACGCCGCCTTAAGCAATATTCCCGACATATCACGGCGGGGACATCAGAAATGGGCTTCACACATTGTACCGAGGTGGGAATCGAACCCAGGACTTCGGCGTGACGAGCGAACACGTTAACCACTAGGCTACCCCATGGTCCCCAATAGTAGCAACAGCAACTATAGTCGTACAAGTAGCATAGAAGAACAATGGCAGTAACAGTAACACTGATGGTAGCAATAGCACCAATAATGGTAGCAATAGTAGCAGCAACAACAATTGTAGCAACAGTTACAAAAGTGGTGATAGTAGTTGCAAAAACAGTTTCAATTATCGTTGCAGCAGCAACAGCAACAATAATGCCGTAGTGTTAGTCACGGTTCTATAATCGACCCAGTAGTAATTATATACAGCACGTTGTACCGATGAATGCGGTACAAGCAATATCAACAATATTATTGCCAGCGTACGTACAGAGAAAACAACTGCAGCAGTGGTGGTAGTCGCAACAGCTAACGTCGTAGCTGCCGCAGAAGCAGCAGAATAAAAAAAACAGGAACTATCGTGTCGGACGCAACCCCTGCAAATCAAAATGCAGTGCATCTAACATCAGAATTAACGTTGCATTTATCATCAAAGACCGTTAATCACTGCTAAAACGCAGCCAAATATGTTGTCATGCATTGTTTGTTCACCCATCCAATCAGCTGTCGGCCTCGCTGCTTTTCCTAGCGGTATTTTATTAAGATAATAACGGGTTTTTCCCAAATTTGAAATTTTACACTGAAGACTATTTTCCTAATTTGCCAATAATTTGAAAGTGCACGCGGACGATTCCCTTGACATTCTGTTTTGAAATACAAGAACTTTCCCCAAACACTGAAACTTAAGCGGCAAAATGACGCAAGCGAACGCAATCAATTTAAATTGTTTTCGAAGTTTTTCGGTCACGTAATACTCTCATCAGGGTGAAAGATGTTTCACGGCCGTCTTATTAGATTAACGTTGAGGAATCAAATTGTAATGTGCCATGCCCTGTGGCCTAACCTCTCCACCGCGGGTACAGCTACAAGGCTCTACCCGGGATGTGTGGCTTGTGCTGTAAACGTGAAGTCCCGAGAGACGTTTGTGGTGATAAAGCAAGGTCTTTTCTCGAGAATCTTGTAGCGTTAAATTGTATTGAATGTAACAGCGAAAATAAAGAAATTAGACCTTAATGTTCCTGGAAGCACTCACTTCCACAAGAATGTGTACTGTTGCCGATGAGGTGTGGGGTTTTGTCCCCCAGGGGTGCTGTTGAGGATCGGTACGGATCGGGATATGCATGCCTCGTGTATAGGTGTCACGTCAGTATGAGGTGAAATGGCGTCCAAGATTATTGCACTTATGTAGCGGCTGCTTGTACTAGTCCGGACTGATGCTGATTTTATAGTGCTCCACACTGAGGTTTTACGCCGCTTTTAGCAATATTCCAGCAATATCACGGCGGGGGACACCAGAAATGGGCTTCACACATTGTACCCATGTCGGGAATTGAACCCGGGTCTTCGGCGTGACGAGCGAACGCTTTAACCACCAGGCTACCCGACCGCCCCTTAACAAGAACACAGTGTACTGACTCCGAGCCGACCAGTCCTTGTTTCAGTACCATAATGACGAGCGCTAGTCAGGGTAACAACAAGTACCATATTTTAACATTTTAGGTATGACGCGGCCGGGGATCGAAGCCTGAACCTTCCGCTCTCCGGTCTGACGCTCGTACCACTAGACCACGGAGGCGGCCACGTCAGAATGAATATCGGTATGGGATTTATGTGGCTTTAAAAATTCCCACCAATATAATCTGGACGTTAAATAAGGGATGTTAACAGTAATCTGTTATATCACACCGATTGTGGAAGTTAGCAAGCGCTATTTTGGATAGTGTGTATGAAGTGAGTGTGGAGCCTGTCGTATGTTGAACTCGAGGATGATGACGTCAACAACAGCTTCGGATATCACGGGAGGATGTCCAGCGTTGTGTCTCGGTTTGTTTGTTTGTTTGTTGTTTAACAATGCGTCCTAGCGACTATCGTAAGTGAGGTGAGGTGAAATTGGGTTTAACGTCGCCTCCCAGATTATTGCACTTATGTAGCGACGTGCATGTGCGTGCGTTCGTGCGTGCGTGCGTGCATGCTTGTACTAGTCCGGACTGATGCCGATTTATAGCGCTCCGAGCCGACCAGTCCTTGTTTTAGCCCCTCAATGCCGAGCGCCAGACAGGGTAACAACAAGTACCATCTTTTAACGTCTTTTGGTATGACGCGGTCGGGGATCGAACCCCGGACCTTCCGCTCTCCAGGCGGATGCTCTTCCACTAGGCCACGGAGGCGGTCGGCGTTTATCGTATTGTCTGATAAGTCAAAACGAGAGGTGACATGTCGTATAAGTCTATGGTATTTTTTGTATTAGGAGTTTTAAAATTGTGGAACAATAGTATTACAATACAAGACGAACGTTAACATTCGCAGCTGGCCACTCATCCCAGTATTAGCCAGTGGCCATTGTAGCCACTGATCCCCGGGTCGGTGAGGTCCCCTGTCAGCAGCCTCAATGAGCATTCGACGACCACGACGTGAGGCTCAGTGACGATGTAGGCGACGGTGTTCGTGGTGTTGTCGTGTAGATGTTGGTGACGATGGCCGTGGTGTTGTCATGTAGATGTTGGTGACGATGGTCGTGGTGTCGTGTAGATGTTGGTGACGATGGTCGTGGTGTTGTCGTGTAGATGTTGGTGACGATGGTCGTGGTGTTGTCGTGTAGATGTTGGTGACGATGGTCGTGGTGTCGTGTAGATGTTGGTGACGATGGTCGTGGTGTTGTCGTGTAGATGTTGGTGACGATGGTCGTGGTGTTGTGTAGATGTTGGTGACGATGGTCGTGGTGTTGTCGTGTAGATGTTGGTGACGATGGTCGTGGTGCTGTCGTGTAGATGTCGGTGACGATGGTCGTGGTGTTGCCGTGTAGATGTTGGTGACGATGTTCGTGGTGAAGTGTAGATGTTGGTGACGATGGTCGTGGTGTTGCCGTGTGGATGCTGGTGACGATGTTCGTGGCGTTGCCGTGTAGATGCTGGTGAAGATGTTCATGGTGTTGTCGTGTAGATGTTGGTGACGATGTTCGTGGTGTTGCCATGTATATGTTGGTGACGATGTTCGTGGCGTTGCCATGTAGATGCTGGTGACGATGTTCGTGGCGTTGCCGTGTAGATGCTGGTGACGATTGTCGTGGTGTTGTGTAGATGTTGGTGACGAGGTCCGTGGTGTTGTGTAGTTGTTGGTGACGATGGTCATGGCGTTGCCGTGTAGATGTTGGTGACGAGGTCCAAGGTGTTGTGTAGATGTTGGTGACGAGGTCCGTGGTGTTACCGTGTAGATGTTGGTGACGATGGTCGTGGTGTTGTCGTGTAGATGTTGGTGACGATGGTCGTGGTGTTGTCGTGTAGATGTTGGTGACGATGGTCGTGGTGTCGTGTAGATGTTGGTGACGATGGTCGTGGTGTTGTCGTGTAGATGTTGGTGACGATGGTCGTGGTGTTGTGTAGATGTTGGTGACGATGGTCGTGGTGTTGTCGTGTAGATGTTGGTGACGATGGTCGTGGTGCTGTCGTGTAGATGTCGGTGACGATGGTCGTGGTGTTGCCGTGTAGATGTTGGTGACGATGTTCGTGGTGAAGTGTAGATGTTGGTGACGATGGTCGTGGTGTTGCCGTGTGGATGCTGGTGACGATGTTCGTGGCGTTGCCGTGTAGATGCTGGTGAAGATGTTCATGGTGTTGTCGTGTAGATGTTGGTGACGATGTTCGTGGTGTTGCCATGTAGATGTTGGTGACGATGTTCGTGGCGTTGCCATGTAGATGCTGGTGACGATGTTCGTGGCGTTGCCGTGTAGATGCTGGTGACGATTGTCGTGGTGTTGTGTAGATGTTGGTGACGAGGTCCGTGGTGTTGTGTAGTTGTTGGTGACGATGGTCATGGCGTTGCCGTGTAGATGTTGGTGACGAGGTCCAAGGTGTTGTGTAGATGTTGGTGACGAGGTCCGTGGTGTTACCGTGTAGATGTTGGTGACGTGGTCCGTGGTGTTGTCGTGTAGATGTTGGTGACGATGGTCGTGGTGTCGTGTAGATGTTGGTGACGATGGTCGTGGTGTTGCCATGTAGATGTTGGTGACGATGGTCGTGGTGTTGTGTAGATGTTGGTGACGATGGTCGTGGTGTTGCCGTGTAGATGTTGGTGACGATGGTCGTGGTGTTGTGTAGATGTTGGTGACGAGGTCCGTGGTGTTGTGTAGATGTTGGTGACGATGGTCGTGGTGCTGCCGTGTAGATGTTGGTGACGATGGTCGTGGTGTCGTGTAGATGTTGGTGACGATGTTCGTGGTGTTGTGTAGATGTTGGTGACGATGGTCGTGGCGTTGCCGTGTAGATGTTTGTGACGATGGTCGTGGTGTTGTCGTGTAGATGTTGGTGACGATGGTCGTGGTGTTGCCGTGTAGATGTTGATGACGATGTTCGTGGTGTTGTGTAGATGTTGGTGACGATGGTCGTGGTGTTGCCGTGTAGATGTTGGTGACGATGGTCGTGGTGTTGTCGTGAAGATGTTGGTGACGATGGTCGTTGTGTTGTGTAGATGTTGGTGACGATGTTCATGGTGTTGCCGTGTAGATGTTAATGACGATGGTCGTGGTGTTGTGTAGATGTTGGTGACGATGGTCGTGGTGTTGCCGTGTAGATGCTGGTGACGATGTTCGTGGCGTTGCCGTGTAGATGCTGGTGACGATGTTCATGGTGTTGTCGTGTAGATGTTGGTGACGATGTTCGTGGTGTTGCCATGTAGATGTTGGTGACGATGTTCGTGGCGTTGCCATGTAGATGCTGGTGACGATGTTCGTGGCGTTGCCGTGTAGATGCTGGTGACGATGTTCGTGGTGTTGTCGTGTAGATGTTGGTGACGATGTTCGTGGTGTAGATGTTGGTGACGATGTTCGTGGCGTTGCCATGTAGATGCTGGTGACGATGTTCGTGGCGTTGCCGTGTAGATGCTGGTGACGATGTTCGTGGTGTTGTCGTGTAGATGTTGGTGACGATGTTCGTGGTGTTGTCGTGTAGATGTTGGTGACGATGTTCGTGGTGTAGATGTTGGTCACACTGGCCGACACGATAAACGTGACGGGAGAGATTTCCGAAGTTCATAATGAACCTGTGGCGGTCATCATTGATCAATTGGTCGATCATTGAAAGGTGATTATAGAGATGTGTCAATTAGATACTAAGGTAAATTCATAGTTTGATGTAGATTGCTGTCACTGTCAGTCCAGATACGGATCGAGTCAATACTAAGCTAGTTTAGATGTGCATTTTTCAATCTCATTAAAATAAGATCTTAGTTCTCGATACTGCTTTGTTTAGCGGTAGCGACAACTAAGATCTGATTTTAAGGAGATAATGCATTTTTTCGCTTTGCTCACTGGGATGGAACATAGCGAGGGTAGTCGTGGACGACCATGCAGTCAAACTCTCTGACGTTTCTCAATGTATACTAAAACGCTGAGTTCAATATTAAAACGTCTAAATGATCGGAAACAACGCTTCTGTATGTATTCGTGCTAGGGAATTTCCAGGGGTTTCCCCTGGAATGTGGAAGTAGTCCGTCAGTGTTTACGGTATATCAAGTACATGGTCTCATGAAAAACATATGAACGTCAAATCGTGTCATTCATACACTTATGAACGTCATTTTTGCGGCCATGTGACCGACCTCTCGTCCAATGGAAAAGCCTTATATCGTGTAAACTTCCCATTCAAAAATTTCAACAAATTGTTTTGTGTGGTTGAAGGTACTGCTCGCCAAGTTCTGGTACTTTGCCTCCGGTTCACTTTACGTGCGCTTCAAACAGTCTCACCACTCCTAACGTGATTTAGACAGTTTAAATGCAAATACGCTTGTATTTCTTACAATGAATTCCACCCATACTATATCTTTACTGATTTGAACGCGACGTTACTCCCCATTTCACCTCATCAAAGCAGATGAGGTCACACTGACCCAAGAACCAATCCAGACAAATCACTCTACTCCTCCGAACCGAAAAAATATTTTACAATCCAAAACCAGATATGTGGAAATGTCCATCCAGACCGTGAGAGGTATCATATAGGTAACCCATTTGTTTATTGGGCAGACATGGCCGATCTATCTTAACAAATCAAACATGGATATCGTAGTTGAAAACAAAGATTTCTTGAAATAGACGCAAAAAACGAGAATTTGGAACTATTTAATTCCACTGAAACCATAGTCTTTTTAACATGTCCAAACATTGCAGGAGGGCACGTTTTCTGAAGAAATACTCTCACCCGCTAGCCGAAGCTGTCGCTGGAGCTACAAAAATATCAGCTCATTGCAATCCTCAATAGATATGATTATATAATCCTTACATCGCCCTAATCACGTTTGCACAGCTTTCGTATTGGCACAGAAGCTTGAGATATTTATTCTGGAAACGACGTGTCAAAACACACTCCAAACCCGTCTTTGTGCAAAACGCGTATCGGTCGACTAAATCAACCGGTATTTGCATTCGAGTGAACCTAATTTCCTGCAAGTAGGGATGTATCCAGTCGAGAGACCAAGTCAATCAACGGCTCCAACAATGGGTCAAGTTTTGTCAAAGGAATCCAACGGTTTGTGGGAAAGACTGTCTTGTTTAATATGGGTTGATGAAGTCGAGAGTTGCCCATACTGTTTGATTTTTATGGAACTTTGTTCGAAATACTGAGCATGAAATGAAGTCCTTTCATCAAGTTTCGCCGATATTTCGCAACCAGATATTTTTGTATCGATTCGATTAGGCATAAGTGGCTGGAATGAGTTCTATGACGGGGTTAAGGCATCGACCAACCCGTCATCGTCGATTCAGCGCTGGAAATATTGTCTACTTTTAAACGGGAAAGCATAGGGCTATTGTGTTGTGTTCTGTTCTGGGAGGTCCCGTTGTCGATATTTGATGCAGTTTGCGTCGTAACTGGAAACGGTTTCAAAGTCGGGTACTCCATTAGGGCATCAATTACCCCTCGGTTGTCAAACTCTGGGTGACCAGACAGTGGTTATCACTCCGAACTGGATCCTCTGTTCTTAGGTTCGAGTCCGATTTTGCTCCAGTTAAGATCCCTGGCTTGACAGCACCATACCTGCGTCCCAGAATATTGCACTTATATGGCTACGTGCATACACGTGTGTGTGTGTGTGTGTGTGTGTGTGTGTGTGTGTGTGTGTGTGTGTGTGTGTGTCTGTGTGTGTGTGTCTGCTTGAACAGATGCTGATTTCACCGTGCTGTCCGACTGAGATACCATCTCCGAGCCGACCAGTCCTTGTTGTATGCCCCTAATGCCGAGCGGCGCCAGGCAGGGTAACAACAAGTACCGTCTTTTAACGTCTTTTGGTATGACGCGACCGGGGGTAGAACCCGGACCCTCCGCTCTCCGCGCGAACGCTCTGTCACTAGACCACGTAGGCGGTTCCTCCCACATCAGGATGACACGCCATTCTATAACTGGCATACTGTACAAGACGTCGTTCTATAGAAATCGCTTCTCTTACGTCATTACAAATGACGTCAACGGTGACATGTGTAGTACCGTAAGAATGCTAGAGCTTGCGTGAAATGGTATTGCACATGTGATGCGTTAATTAACTGTGCTCCATATCAAGAGGTGTGACCTGTAAAGATCCGGGGTAGAATAGGTCTTCAGCAACCCATGCTTGTCGTGAAAGGCGACTAACGGAATCGGGTGGTCAGGCTCTGTGACTTTTTTAAAGCATGTCATCGAGCCCAATTGGGTGGATCGATGCTCATGATGTCAATCACTGGATTGTCTGGTCCAGACTCGATTATTTACAGACCGCCGTCATATAGCTGGAATATTGTTGAGTGCAGCGTAAAACAACAAACCAACCAAACCAATGTACTGTTTACAGTCATTAAAAAGACACATGTATGAGTATTATGCTCACAACAAACACGCAAACATCCACATTGTGCGCCGTGCATTAACATTCACGTGCAAATAGTGAAGATGTCTTCATGAATAGGCATTATTTAACTTCAGAATAAATGAATTTTTACAGAACTTTATATTTCCGTTGGCATATACAGATAATCATTTGCCTTGTTACAACATCGAGGTGAAATTATTCCTGGTTCATTGTGACGTCACACATTATCCCAATAGTCCGAGTTAACCTACAAGGATGGTTTACCAAGTGCTCTAAGGTGCCACTGTATAAACCTTTCAGAGTTGTCTCCCTTAGTAGTGACAGGATACACTTTGCCTCAATTATGATCCTTGGCCGGTCTCAGCAAATGACTATGCCTACGATCTGCGCCCTGGTAAATCTGAACAATAGTTAAAAAACAACGTTAAACCAAACTCAATCACACCAAATAGGGGTACTTTAAAAACATATATATAAGTGATGAAACATCTCTAAACGTATCAAGGCAACAAGAGTGCAAACCTGTTAAACTACGCAAATATGTGACTGCTCTAAAAAGTCTTCAACGTCTCTGTTCAGAGGGACTTGTTTCACGTTACTTGGGTGTTATTCTACGTCGATATATGTCTCCTCAAAAACGCTCATAGAACAGTGCTAAAAATTGACATTCCGATGAATCTTGTAATATACGCCGCCCGTTCAAGCAGTAAATATCGTAATTTATTTTTTTCCGTCTTTTTACCCATTTCGATATTCAGCCATCAAAACACTCTGCACTTCAAGCAACGCTTAGCCAACGACTTGATGAAGACACCCTATCATGGACGCTGCTGTCAGGAGCGGGCCCCGTTTGATTGCATTTGCCAGTCGACTTGTTTCGACTGTCGTACGTTTGATGATAAAATCCGATAGTACAACCTGAAAACCATGTTCCGAAGTGCCCTTCCTCTCCGGGGATCGCGAATGCAAATGGCAGTATCTGAGTACCGATATTTCTGAGCTATTTTATTAAAACCTGTCAGAGGCGAGTGTGCGACCGACGAGCTTGTGCTTGCTTTTCGAGCTTGTAATGGGGGGATGCTACACGCCAACAGAGATGTGCATCTTTTATGATCGCCCTCGCGTCAAAACTGCAATATCTACTAATGAGAAAACATTTGTGCTGTATTACACATACTGCACGGGTCTCGTGACTTTTAAATTGCATAAAGCTGTCAATATGTTAGCGGCGGACGAGAGACACACGCTCTCGCGGGACTACGCACTTCTCGAGCGGCGTGATTACCAATCTATACGGTATGAGAGCGTGACGTTCAGCTAAAGGGAAATAACTCCGAAGGGAGCTCGTTTAACCACGTCGGGTGTTGAAAAGATTTTTGTTATCAACACATGAGCGGTTTTGAAGAAATAAAATAATTTCATGGCTTTCATAAAAGCGAGTATTACGCTAATCCTGTGATTCTGAATACAGAAGAATTGTTATCATTACCATATCGGACGTTTGATACTTGGGCAACACACACAACATCCATATGGGAATAAAATGGAGGTGTACAATTTATCATATATTTGAATAAATGGCGAATAACAGTACGGAATAAACGGACGTGCGGAGAAGCAAGTGAAGGGCATTAAAAACATGGGATATTACGAACAAATGTGATATATCATTTGTAACAAAACTGATTATATGTGATTATATCTCTGAATCAAACGATTTGCTTTTTTCATTAACGGAAATATAAAAAGGGTGTTCTATACATAGTGAGTGAGTGAGTGAGTATGGTTTTACGCCGTTTTTAGAAATATTCCAGCAATATCAAGGCAGGGGACACCAGAAATGGGCTTCACACATTGTACCCATGTCGGGAATGGAACCCGGGTCTTCGGCGTGGCGAGCGAACGCTTTAACCACTAGGCTACCCGACCGCCCGTTCTATACACAGAAAAGAGTCTTAGCTCAAAGTATTAGAACGTCATTACGATCAATTCAAGACAACATTGAGTGAATACCGTTTTACGTCATCGATAGAACATCCCACCACATAGTGAGATCGGCGAGGCTATTGCGGCATCGTCACCTAAGTCACATCTGCGTGAAGGTCATTGTTGGAGGTCAAGGTCACCCGTTATGCAGTACCAATCCTAAACAGCCATTGTGGACATCAGGGCGTCATTTTAGTTTTTTCCACAAGCAAATAAACAGAAGTGATCTTTATATAATGATGATATCGACATGGGTGTGTAGACCCCAACCGCCTCGGTGGTCAAGTTGTAGAGAGGCCATCCCGTAGGACTGGGACGAGTCCAAATTTACTACCCGGGTACCCACCCCCCTATTACCCGACCCTACCCGGGTACCCGCTGTAGGTCTCAAGAGATAGGTAAAACATGTCCGATTGGGAATAGTTTGACCGTACTCCTGTCAAAACAAATTTAGATAAACGTATAAACCGATCTTGTCATGTAAACATTGAAGTTGACTGATGTTTTATTATTATGCAAACAAATAAAGTCAGAAGGAATGTGGGCAAAGTCAAAAAGAAATGTGAACATTTATCACTTATAGTGTAGCCATAGAGCCATTGAACGATATATCATGTGACTAACCACGGGTCCAGGTAGTCCTGTGGGTACCCGGGTCCTACTCAGTACCCACCCGACCCGGGTACCGGATTTACCCGTCCCAGCCGGGGTTCGATCCCCGGCTGCGTCATACCAAAAGACGTTAAAATATGGTACTTGTTGTTTTCCTGCCTGGCGTTCTCTCTCTCACACACACACACACACACACACACACACACACACACGTGCATGCACGTCGCTAAAACGGCATATATATATATATATTTGAAACCTATTTCGATGTTTCGGCAGTTACTGTTTTGAAAAGTGTAATGTATTTGCATGTAATGCAGTGTCAAACAGAGATTAACAATTATCTCGGTTCGGGTGACATTTACAAGACGGTTGGACTAAACAACACACCACGGAGTGAAATATTATCCAACACTCATGAGCCATAATAAGAAACAAATATTTAAATAAGACATAAAGAAACGGTCACCGCGCGCCGAGATAGAAAGGCCAGTGGAGCGGGAAATTCTTGTCTGACTCCTTCCACGTGCAAATAAGTAGTAGAGAAATACGCTCCCACAATTAGTTAGCCAATCGGGCGCAGATGTTTGTGTCAGAGCAGTGCTCTTCGCGAACACAGGAAATGGCAGACAAGTTGTATCTGAAGGCATAACTCAAATATAAAGTTCTAAATTCCAAATATATGGATATTTTTTGGTTGCAAATGTTCTTTGGCCGATCTATTTTGATCATGTCTTGATAATGGGTATCCCTATGTCAATGCCAGAACTGCAACACCAAACATTATTAGTTACATTTTTCGGTAAATGAATATACATGTCGTTAGATGATCCAAGATCCGGGGTAGAATAGGTCTTCAGCAACCCATGCTTAATAGGTGACTATGCTTGTCGTAAGAGGTGACTGACGGGATCGGGTGGTCAGGCTCGCTGACTTAGTTGATGCACGTCATCGATCCCAATAGCGTGGATCGATGCTCATGATGTCAATCACTGGATTGTCTGGTCCAGACTTGATTTTTCAGACCGCGGTCATATATAGCTGGAATATTGCTGAGTGCGGCGTTAAACAACAAACAAACACATGGCCTATTGTAGATTGTATTATACAATGGCGTTCGAATTGATTTCATATTTTTCTTTTTCCACATTCAAAAAGTGTTGTCCATCCCAAATATAACTAATTTTGTATTCATTTGTTTACCCTATCCACACTCTTTTTAATACTTAAAAACGGTCGACGTGAGTTAAAACGTCAAACAACCCCATCACCAAAAACGTGCTATGAAGACACGTGATGGTTTCTTCACATTGTAGGGGGGTAGTTGGAACAGCGTTCAAGAAATGTTACGAAGGGAGGTGGATGGAAGATCTGGGCTAATTCAGGCCTGTTCTAATAGGAGGATCTTGCAGGTGTTTAATTCATATCATAACTGACTGCATGATAAGGTGCAAGCTGCCAACTCCACATGCCAACTTAGGGGAATTTAATAAGCAGGAAACGATTTAACATCTGCACCTACAACAACATGGCCTTTCCGCTGGGAACTCCGGGATCCTGCGAGTTGTTACCGCGTGATGTCAAGTACTATTACCGTTCATTATAAATCTAAAACTGAATGGTCAACCGTGTCAGATGAGTAATTGTTAAGAAATAGGGCAAAGTCAGCCTATCTGCCATGTGTCAAATAATCACGGCCATTTGGGGAATCGTAATTCAGACAATACCTTTGGGAATTGTACTATTTCACCAAGTCTCCAGTGTGTCTAAAGAGGCGGATCCAGGATTGTCTATGCCAGTACAAACACAGTTTGTGTGTGTGTGTGTGTGTGTGTGTGTGTGTGTGTGTGTGTCTGTAAATGTATATGTGTGTTTGTCTCTGCCTGTGTGTGTGTGTCTGTAAGTGTGTGTGTGTGTGTGTGTGTGTCTATGTGTATTTTCCTCTGTGTGTGTGTGTGTGTGTGTGTGTGTGTGTGTGTGTGTGTGTGTGTGTGTGTACAATGGGGAGAAACACCCTAACCTCTGGATACGCCACTGTTTCCATCAAAAGGAGTTTGTAATATAAATGCCCGGTTGTTGCCCTATGATCTATTTTTGTGCGTTATAAAATGTCAGGCAAAAGAAAGTACATACCAATATACTATGGTGGCTTAGATTGAAACAAACAAGAAATGGTGACTGCGCTTTCTATACAGGTGTAAAAGTTGTCTTACTGAAATAACATAATATTTGGTCAGTCGTCTGATCAATGTTTCATCATAACAAATTTATTGTAACCTGGTGACAGGAGACAGAGAGACACGCCCTAATAGATGGGAGGTATAACAACTCAACAATGGCATTATCGGGTGTGACTACTACTTGTGTTGATACAAGCGGGGCAGCAGCGGCGCATCGAAGACACCAGACGATTGAAAACGCCCCCGGGGATATTGTTCAAAATGTCAACCAAATATTTGTCCAACTGAGCTACCGTCATCGACTTCTGGTCCTGTCGTAGGCGTCGACCCATCTCATCCCAGACATGTTCTGCAGGAGAGAGGTCTGGACAGGCGGTCATGGTAGTACACAAATGGTATGCTGCCCCAAAATGTCTGTTACAACACGTGCAACATGTGGGCGGGCATCATCCTGTTGCAACCTGACGTGACCTCCCTGCAATTACACAAAAGGGTAGGGCATGATCGCGATTAGTGTAGTGATAGTGTTTCGGCGACTTTCTTTTGCCTGGCAGTTTAAATTCTCTACTAAAACTTGGCATGTATGTTCTCACGATGTTGCAATATTAGCGTTACAGCTTCTCAAGAACGGGATGAACAGGCTGTGTCCAAACCTTCCATGGGTAGTTGTGAGTGAGTGAAGTCGGGTAAACGCCGCTTTGACCAGTTTCAGTTATATCACGCGTGTCAGCTTAATGCGGGAGGAAAGCCCGAAGTAATGCAGGTTTTAGATGTTTGGTGAAACCCACGAACACGAGTATGGTGACCAATCAAGAATAAAATCAGAATGAGAGCGAATCTGGCAGAGAACCCACGATGATAGAATTCTCTTAGATCTAATGGGCACATCTCAGCGAACTGCCTCACTGACTTGGCTGAGAATTTGAGGTGATGTGAAGTGAGATGGGGTTTAACATCCTTCAAGATTATTGCACTTATATAGCATACGCGTGTGTGTGTGGCTGCTAGGCGGGACTAATGCCAGTTTCATAGTGCTAGCCCACTGAGATACCATGCAGCAGTTTAACACAAATCCTTCACTCAAAGTATACTGACTCTGAGCCGACCAGTCCTTGTGTTAGCCCCTTAATGCCGAGCGCCAGGCAGGGTAACAATAAGTGCCATATTTTTAAGTCTTTTGGTATGACGCGGTGGCTGGGATCGAGCCAATGACCTTCCACTCCCCAGGTTGATGCTCTATCAACAAGATCACGGAAGCTTGGGTTGGGTTGTGGCACGTGTGCTCTTTGCTGTATATATATTGCATTTTAAATGGTTTTGACAAGATTCCTCAAATACTTAATCCCGTGCAGCCATGAAGCTTAAATGTGAGAGCTAAAAAATGGAATTTTGTCATTTTTGATTAACTTTGAAGTTGAAACTGTTATCTCTTAGTCTGCATGACACCTATACACAGCCTTCAGCCACATTGTGCTTGTCTGCTATCATCATGACGCCCACATACAGGTCAATTCAGCCACATCGTGTTTGTCTGCTATGATCATGACGCCCACATACAAGTCAATTCGGCCACATCGTGTTTGTCTGCTATCATCATGACGCCCACATACAGGTCAATTCAGCCACATCGTGTTTGTCTGCTATCATCATGACGCCCACATACAGGTCAATTCAGCCACACCATACTTGTCTGCTATGATCATGACGCCCACATACAGGTCACTTCAGCCACATCGTGCTTGTCAGCTATGGGAATGACACCCACATACAGGTCACTTTAGCAACTCAATATTCACTCACTCACTTAATGAGATCGTACACATAACCTGTCTTGAATTACATCACAACAAAAAAGCATAAACAATTCACAATAAAATGATATTTATTATCCCTAATTCATACAAAACAATATACAACTTGCACAGACTGTTCTTCACAACATCACAAGCCTGATTATAACTACAGATCCACTGCATGGAAGAGAAACAGCTGCAAATGTGAAGCAGATTTGCACTAAAATTAAAAAATTAAAAACAGATTCTTATAAAATTGATCAGCAACAAAATAATATTTATCATTTGAAATAACATTTCCACCTATTGTATATATCTGCATGGTATATAATATACAATACAGTAGGTATTTCCAGGTACATTTCCACCTATTGTATACATCTGGCATCTGCATGGTATATAATATACTATATGGCAGGTATTTCCAGGTACATTTCCACCTATTGTATATATCTGCATGGTATATAATATACTATACGGCAGGTATTTCCAGGTACATTTCCACCTGTTGTATATATCTGCATGGTATATAATATGCTTTATGGCAGGTTTTTCCAGGTACATTTCCACCTATTGTATATATCTGCATGGTATATAATATGCTATACGGCAGGTATTTCCAGGGACTCTACACATCACCAGCACCACAGTCATTACAAACCTACTGCGCCAGGTTGTCATAAAACTGATATCTACACTATCACAACAACTCAATACAACATTACAACACATTCCGAACTACAGAGTGAATAACAGTTAAAAAGTGGTAATATCCCTATTACTCAACCCACTTGATGATGTCCCGTTTCCCTACAAGCAGCATGGTATGGAGTGGGCAAACCAGTGGTTGACGGTATGAGCATCAACCCACTCGATGATGTCCCGTTTCCCTACAAGCAGCATGGTATGGAGCGGGCAAACCAGGGGCTGACGGTGTGAGCATCAACCCACTCGATGATGTCCCACTTCCCTACAAGCAGCATGGTAGGGAGCGGGCAAACCAGGGGTTGACGGTGTGAGCATCAACCCACTCGATGATGTCCCACTTCCCTACAAGCAGCATGCTATGGAGCAGGCAAACCAGTGGTTGACGGTGTGAGCATCAACCCATGACACACTAAACCAGGAAGCTCTGCTGAATTTAGTGAGTGAGTTGAGTTAACTCTGCTTTTAGCAGAATTCTGATGATATCAATGTGAAGGTCACCAGAAATGAGCTCCACACAGTGTAACCATGTGGGATTTGAAGTTTCAGTATGACTGTTCAATGAGACATTAAACCCAACTCACAATGGACCAAGTTGGCCTGTCAAAAGCATTCCAAGCGGGTATATCAGAGTTGTGCTTTTTTGTTCGATTGCAACACAACTGCAAAAATTCAAATGAATTATTGCTTAGCTTCAGCTGTTGCAAGTAGCCCTTAAATATTCCTCTAAATAATTCATAGATATGCATGCAAACATCCCTCTGAAAAACAAGAACAAAAAACAAAAAACAATTTATACATGAAACAAAACAATGCTGATTCAGTTTTTAACAAGAAAAACCTGACCAAATTATTGTTTTCAAAGAAAATTATTTTGATTCATGTCAAGTGTGCTCTTGAAAATATTGCAATAAACGACAACACATTTCCTGCTCATAAAACAATTTTGACAACATGAAATTGGAATGCCATGCCTTCATAATGAAGGAGGTTTTTTACAGCATGATGAGCCGGGATCTGGTTACCATCATGAATGGGAAAGCATTTAGCTTGAAATGACAAAACCATCTCACAAACACGTCTTCCGAAGTCCACGCTGCAGTGTTGCACCCAGCTTCCCAAATCACCATGCCTGATCTACAAGCAGGTTGTCTCCCCTTGCACCACCCACATCCTCCATGTATTCAATCAGACATGCCAGAGATCGCCTGTAAATTCCACGTCAGGAAATGATTTGGGTTGTTGAATACATGCAAGGATAGGATGTCTTGCCCATAAACACCATCCTGCCAAATCCATTACATCTAGTCCAGACATTGGGCTGAAACTGATCACAACTTAATTACAACAACACTATTTTCCTAACACATGCCCACGGCATCAACAATGTCAACCAGACCTTGAGGAGATTATAATGTGCCTCCACAACACATGGGCTACCTGATGAGTATAGCTATGAGTATACAGATGGTACAGGCATATTCTAGGTTGCAGAAAGTCATTTTCCAAACCCGCTCTGCTTCATTTACTATCACTCAAACAAACATATATACCAGAATATATGGTAATATGATATCATACATGGGAACATTGTAACATTGCTATAGGTCAGCTGAGCAAAAACAAGACCCTTAAGGAAGTAGCAATTCTACATGAGAAAGTCCAGAGAATAACAAGTTCTTGTCAAGTGATGAAAATATGTGAAAGCTACCCAAAAAGAATATGACGATTACAAAAAGCGTCCTTGGAGATGCACATTGTTGGAAGCCCACTGTTGCATCTATGTACAACACCATCCAGTTCAGTGGTCCTGTGGGTTAACACTACAGACCTCCCTCAAACTCCAACAGCTGTCACGAGGTACAGAGAGCTCATCAATCTTCCGTGCAACAGCAGAGGGGGGGGGGGGGGGGGGGGGGGGAGTCAGTGAGTGATTACTGTTTAATGCAGGATCAGCAACCTTGCAGCAATCCACAGCGAAACAGCCATAGACTCAGCAAGTCTACCAATGCTGGAAATCTGGCACAACAGCCATAGACTCAGCATGTCTACCAATGCTGGAAATCTGGCATAACAGCCATAGACTCAGCATGTCTACCAATGCTGGAAATCTGGCACAACAGCCATAGACTCAGCATATCTACCAACGCTGGAAATCTGGCACAACAGCAATAGACTTGGGTTGCCTACAAATGCTGGTCCCCCTTGGCTGAACCTTTGCAACCATAGCAACAGATTCTGGGTGCCTACCAATGCTGGATCTTTGGAACCACAGGCAATATGTTTTTTTCTTCTTGTGGCGATGTCCTTCTGATCACTACATGGTTCTTGTGATGTCATAACAGTATCAATACTTGTTCCTTGGTAGCTGCAGTTTGTTGGTGATCGGTCTGGGTCCATTTGTTTCTGAAAACACAAAAAACAGTTCATGAATGTTCAGGTACTATGGTGAGTGAGAGAGCGAGTTTACGTAATGGCTATACGCTGCTTTTACCAGTATCCCAGTTATATCACGGTGTGTCAACTTAATGTGGGAGGAAGGCCGGAGTGATGCAGGTCTCAGACATTTACCACTTTGGTGAAACCCACGAGCACAGGTATGGTGCTAGAAACATAATCAGGGCAAACATGGATTCAAACCCACAATCATAGGTTTCTGGTGTGTCTCAGCAAATTGCACTGCCTTAGACAATGTACCAGCATCTTTCCAAGGCAAGGGAGTTCACTGACTGTAAGAGTCCAGTTTCAACCCTTGCCGAACTAGGTTGGAATTATGGAGTTATATTTTGGGTGGACTAATGAATCTATGCATAGTCCAATCACAATTGGGTAACGAAATCAACCTCCAGTTTGTCAACCTCTGTGCTGATTTCGGTTGATTGCAGGATTTGTAAAGCATGTGTACCGCCAACTCAGCGTCAACAGATATGTCCCATATCTTTTCATGTTTGTAATCTAGGTGCTCACATGATTTGATGCACTTCCCAGGGCAACATCTGTTTTATTACAATAAAGATCTTGAATATCGATCAGATTGTCTTGACTTGGAGCCATCATTTTGTTCGAAGCAATTGCAAGTGATATGAGAGGTGGAATCTGATTGGTCAATAGGAGGAACATAGAAGGGACATAACTTGTAATAGCCACTGGTGGCGCGACATTCGAACCCACAAATTCCAGCCTAGTTTGGCAAGGGTGGAAACTGGACTCTTACAGTAAGTTAACTCCCTTGCCTCGGAAAGATGCATATCCTGCCACCATGTATTACACACTCGGGACCTGTGGACAACCGGTGCACACTGTCCTGTGCAGAGGTGTGTCTCTCAGCCGTGTCAGAGCCTGCTTGCTGTGCTAATCCCAGCATTTGCCTGCTCTTGTCTCTGATAATTCATATCAGTAATTGGAGATTTCACATTTCACTGCAGTAACAGAAATGCTGATGCTTACTTAGACTAAAATCTAGTCTCTGAAATGAACATATCGTACATAAAAAAAACAGTTGTTCAGTTATCTTAATAAAAATATAATAAAAAGGAGCCCAGTGACTCTCTTCATTTTCAGATACTGCAGTGATCTAGACTTGCCAAACATTATAGACTTGCATGGGCTGTATTTGATATATATTTGTATCAGGGTCTGTAAGACAGACTAATGCTTACTCTATAGTCAGGATGGTATGAGATCTGAGGACCAATGTACTTAGGTGAGGTGAAATGAGGATTAACATCGCGTCTAAGATTATTGCACATATAGCGCTCATGCATGCATGTGTGTGTGTGTGTGTGTGTGTGTGTGTGTGTGTGTGTGTGTGTGTGTGTGTGTGTGTGTGCTAGCCCACTGAGATACCATGCCACAGTTTAACATGAATACCGCACTCAGACACAGTATACGGACTCTGAGTCGACCAGTCCTTCTTTCAGCCCCTTAACACTGAGCGCCAGGCCCAGTATACTGTACTGACTCTGAGCCGACCAGTCCTTCTTTCAGCCCCTTAACGCCGAGCGCCAGGCCCAGTATACTGTACTGACTCAGAGCCGACCAGTTCTTGTTTTAGCCCCTTAACGCCGAGCGCCTGGCCCAGTATACTGTACTGACTCAGAGCCGACCAGTTCTTGTTTTAGCCCCTTAATGCCGAGTGCCAGACACAATGTACTGAGATAAGTGCATAAAAAATATCAATGTCCACTTCCTACTGGAAGCATGTCTTATCATCCTGTTATTGAAACTTCATCACAAAGGATAACATGGTTGATATTTTCAGTTGCCTTTGTTCTGTTTCAATGCTATTGATGTTGGTCTGAATGTTTTCCCAAATTAAATTATTGACAGAGCAATCAATATAGTGCTCTGTACTTGATCATGTCAAAAGTATAAGAAAGACAAAAAGCTAGTTGAGCATGTCTGATAATTTTTAAAACAAGATTTCAAAGTTTGAGACAACTCTAAAATTTTAAAATCCAGTGGCCCAAATATAGGGCTGTTATTATACCTCGTCCATTATGTTAAAATCACATCCCCCTTTCTCTGAAATTGCAATATGATACTCATTTCGTCGCAAATGGGTCCTCAGTTCTAAACAGAGAACGTTAATTACAATCATGGGTGCTGATGTCAATGGTTTCCACGATGCACCTCATATCTGACTTGCCCATATTATCCAAGGGGTCGGCCAAGATGGGCATATCATTATTAATTTTATGTAAAGTGCCACAACTAAAAATTCCCTAATCCTGTCAGCATAGCTTTTATGTGAATTAAGCCTTGATGTTTATCGACACGTAATGCTCATATAAATATTGATTCAATATTCATATACTTAACAATCCCCACAGCTGTGGTTATCAATCATACAACCGAGGGAATCGTTATAACAGAAGCCATTTGCCAGGTCAAATCTGAAAAAACCCCATTACAGTCCCTCTGATTCCAGATATTCAGCATGGATTAAACCACAGATTTATGCAAAGTCTCGTCCTCTCTAATATTACGGTGTGTGGACTAAAATGTGGTGTCGTCTCCTGGGACGTGAGACTAACTCTGCAACAGGAAGCTGTGGATGACAGTTTCTACTTTCTACTTCTTGGAGTCATTCTCTGGAGTGTTGTCAATATTTCTTTGATTTTTCCCTGTCTGACAATGCAAAGTGACGTAATTAAACGCAAAGTGAAAGACAGAAAGGGAGACATGCACTTGCAACAAAATACACCACGCTAAAACTTGCTGTAAAAACCAGAGAGAACTAAATCACATTAAATTTGATTAGCTATGAAGTTGTCTTGTTTTTCTGGTATGAAAGTTCTCACATGATTAAAGAGCCAAAAAACTAACAGGGCAAATGCCATGGTGTCTAGCAACTCTTGCACAAAATTGTGTTAAAATCGCAATCACATCTTGGTGAAATTTCAAAGAAAAAGGTCATTTCTTCCCTCTTCTTGACACATAGATTTTGATTTTCCATTAGGAAGAGACAGATACTTTTTTTCAATACACCCGAGAAAAGCGTGTCATCCTCCAATTCACTAACCTGGAAGTACAAGACAAATCACTCCACAACCTCAATCAGGATCAAAATTAAAAGCTTCAACTATCGCTAACAAAAACATAACTTTCAAAAGTTTGTGACAGGCAAAAAACCTCAAGTCATTTTTACCTCAGCACCCTCACAGCTGCTACAGAACATGGAACAACACAAAGACCAGTCTCAGGTCTGTACATACATTGTTCCAGGGTAATGCCTGCTCCTTCAGCAATCAGGTATATATCCCTGTAGTCTACATAGCAACTAAACATTGCTCTGTGGTCCACATCACAACAAAACATTGCTCTGTAGTCTACATAGCAACTAAACATTGCTCTGTGGTCCACATCACAACAAAACATTGCTCTGTAGTCCACATCACAACAAGACATTGCCCTGTAGGCCACATCACAACAAAACATTGTCCTGTAGGCCACATCACAACAAAACATTGTCCTGTAGGCCACATCACAACAAAACATTGCTCTGTAGTCCACATCACAACAAAACACTGCCCTGTAGGCCACATCACAACAAAACATTGTCCTGTAGTCCACATCACAACAAAACATTGCTCTGTAGTCTACATCACAACAAAACATTGCCCTGTAGTCCACATCACAACAAGACATTGCCCTGTAGTCCACATCACAACAAAACACTGCCCTGTAGGCCACATCACAACAAGACATTGCCCTGACGAAAGTCACTTCATGTGAGTTGAACAAACTTTATGTATCGGAAGTAAATTTCACATGTCGAACCGGTAAATGATGCAAAGAGCACAATGCCAATTCAAATTACCACAAACCCAGAGAAGTGAAGAATCTGTCCTGACTAAATACACATAACACCATCATGCCAAAAGTTGCCGAGATGAGTATAGGGGTTTCTCCACGGATGAGTATTGTTTTGCAGTAAGTGTATCAGTGCCACCAAATACAGTCAGCAGGTAGACCACTTTATCAAGTGCAATCCAATCTTAGACAAATTAAATAGTCTCACAAGAGAGTGATATATAGTCACTTGACAGAGTCATATGGTCACAGGACAGAGATATAGTCACAGGGCATATATAGTCACATGACAGAGTTATATAGTGTGGTAGTCATGATGTCAACAGTATTGACAAGTGTGGTACTCATGATGTCACCAGTATAGACTAGTGTGGTAGTCATGATGTCACCAGTTCTGACTAGTGTGGTAGTCATGATGTCACCAGTATAGACTAGTGTGGTAGTCATGATGTCACCAGTATAGACTACTGTGGTAGTCATGATGTCAACACTACTGACTAGTGTGGTAGTCATGATGTCACCAGTATAGACTAGTTTGGTAGTCATGATGTCACCAGTATTGACTAGTGTGGTAGTCATGATGTCAACACTACTGACTAGTGTGGTAGTCATGATGTCACCAGTATAGACTAGTGTGGTAGTCATGATGTCAACAGTATTGACAAGTGTGGTAGTCATGATGTCACCAGTATAGACTAGTGTGGTAGTCATGATGTCACCAGTATAGACTAGTGTGGTAGTCATGATGTCAACACTACTGACTAGTGTGGTAGTCATGATGTCACCAGTATAGACTAGTGTGGTAGTCATGATGTCACCAGTATAGACTAGTTTGGTAGTCATGATGTTGCCAGTACTGACTAGTGTGGTAGTCATGATGTCACCAGTACTGACTAGTGTGGTAGACATGATGTTGCCAGTATTGACTAGTGTGGTAGTCATGATGTCACCAGTACTGACAAGTGTGGTAGACATGATGTTGCCAGTATTGACTAGTGTGGTAGTCATGATGTCACCAGTACTGACTAGTGTGGTAGTCATGACGTCACCAGTATAGACTAGTGTGGTAGTCATGATGTCACCAGTATAAA